GAGATAAGATGGAGGGGCAGAGGACCAAGGGCAATGCCCGACTCCAGTGACGGCTGACCTCTGCTGACACGCACACTGACCATAAACAGTTCATGCGCTCGGCGCACGCTGGCTCTTGCCCGCCCCGAGCGAGAGTAGCGCGTCAGACAATGGGGCGGGCTGGCCGGCCTTTGTCCGTGTGCTCTCAGCCTCGCACGCCGATCTGCTGAGCGCCCGGCCGCGCCGGAGCCGTGACCACAGCGATGTACCCGTCTCATGCGTAGCCGCGCACGCCCTGCTGCAGCGCCAGATGGGAGGCCCCGTGGCAGGAGGCGGACAGCAGGCGGCGCGCACACTGTCACACGGCGCACTTGTGTCCGTGGTCTTAGCGGCCTCAGTCATCCGCATTTCCACGATGCTCTAAAAACTCGCCTGAACAATGCCCCGGAATGAGCGGCGCAACACGCCTGTCACGAGGCGCGCCTGCGTTCCCAGACACTCGCGCCGGTCCGGAGATGGGCGGAGGCCGACCGGGGCGCCGCCCACCACTGGGCGGCCCCGGCGGTCCGTCACACGCCGCCGGCCGCTCGTGACGCCGCCCGCGAGCCTCGGTCCCCGCCCGAGGCTCCCGGGCACCGGTCGCCGCCACGCGGAATGACAAACGCACTGGGCTGTGCGGTCCAGCTCGGATCCTCCGAGCGATCGCGCCCCAAACGCGGCAGGTCGCTGCAGCGGCGGACATCTCGAACGGCACGGAGCCGCCGCTGCCACGGCAGGCCAATAGTATTGTGAACTAGCAGACCATCAAGGAGCCGTCGCTAGCACGCATGGCGGGTCCTCCGGCCAGCCCGGCTGATGGCGGCCGCCGACGGCCCACGTCAGTTCCCGTGGTTAATCGCCCCCGAAAGGCAATTAACATAATAGACGCCCTATCTGACGCTCAGCCCACCGAGCGAATACAAATGTACTGAAGATACGGCCAGATGGCCAGCTGCGTGGACCTGTCGACCCGGCGTCACAGGTAATCGCCTGGTGTGAACAAACATTCTGACCCGCCGCTGGGCGTCCGGTGGCCTTGGCGCGGCCGCGACTCATCAGGCGGCGGCGCTCGCCGCATACGAGCCGCCGCCGCCGCCCCCGCCACCGTGCCGCCGCCCACGAGGCTCATCCCTCCCGACGCGGCCAGCTCGGCTCGGGCCTGCTGGAGAATCGGGGCCGCCCCGGGCTGGCGCCACGCCCCGCGGCGAAACCAATTAAAAGCCCATAGCGCCGATTGGGCGATGTCGGCAGGCTGCCGCGGGCCGGCCGTCCCATATCGGCCTGCCGACCGCTCGGTGGCCGGTGATGGACAGGCGGTCGGAGGCCGCTCCGCTGGGCACGCTCCACGCGCGCATCGATAACTACGCCCCTCGGCGCGTGGCCCGAATCCATGCGATTTCCATGCGGGTAGCTAAGCCCCGCCCGCTCCCCCTCTTCCCCAGCGGCGGTCCGCTGCTGCCAGCGATCGTATCGAGCGCTCGGGTTTTGCAACGGCTCGGCGCGGCGCTCGCAGGGGCCGCCACATTCCGCGCGCTCCAGCCGTTGCAGTTGCTAATTTGTCGGGCACATGCGAGGCCCGCCGCCGCACGCCGCTGGTGTTAGCGCTGCGCGGGAAACCCCGCGCCCCAGCCGGCGCTCTTGTCATGTCCGGCAGGTCATTGGCAGGGCTCGCGCTGACGTGGTGAGCTGGCTGCACCGGGGCGGGGGCAAGCTGGTCACTAAACCTGACGGCCCATATCTGCACGTGTGTTCGTCAGGTTGCCCGGCCATTATCACCTATATCTATATCTCTCTCCCACTTGTATACGTATATACACATCAAGGTAGCATGCATAACCATATCTATCTGTACCATGCGATGACGTCCACTTGAATTTTCCAACAGACGTCTAGATCGCGTAGCGTCCAGAAATATTGGGAGGCATCTGACGGCCTTTGGCCCAACGAAAACACTGAGCAGCATGTGTGCTTTGTTAAAATTGCCGCATCACCTCATTCCTTTGGCACTTTCTAGTTTGGCAGCCTTTCGTTATTTACGTTATAATCTATCTACAAAAGAAAACTTCGATATGCGATAAAAAGGAGCTTCGCATGGTGGCACCAGCGCCCACATGCCTAGGTTAACAGAAAAAACTTCGCGAGAGAGTTGCGAGGGAAAGGATAAGCATCTGCCCGAAAGGTTTCGGGGCTAGGACGCCCCGTAACGTGTCGTTGCGGAGCCACACCAATGGTTGGGTACGCTCTATCCCTTTAAGAAGGCAGAGGACGCATTGTGCTGGTCATCTTTGTGTGTACGCTCTAGAGATGCCAGTTAGATCGCAAATTTTAGAAATTCCAAAAATTTCCCCAATCTAATTTGGAAATCCGACGAACGGGGGCAAGCATCTTTGGAATTTCGGGGATGGCCGAAACTATTACGTCGCGTTGGAACTACAGATGTCTTCATAAAAGCCAGCGATGCGCATTCCTTACCCACAGCCACATTCCTTCTTTTCGTTCGATTCTCATGAGGCCACGCAGCCACGCGGGTAATGACTGGGTTTATTGGCTGTAGGTAGAAGTTATTTGAATTGAAAGTGTCTGAACAACCTGATTTTGTTATACTTTTCGGGCGGACGGCTGGTCCATCCTTGCACTTTGAATGGGACTTTCGACAAGAACTTCCAGAAAACGGCACCTCTGGTTCGTTCAGTGACAGCCGCGGCTATTCAGCCCGGCGAACTTCACGCGTGTGGGCCGGCTGGGAGGTGACGGCCGGGATGGGAGCGGCTGCTCCCGCGCGGCCTGCACAGCGGCGCCCTGAAGCTGGCGCCCCGTCGAGCGGCCATGACGGATTCTGCCCGCCGTCAGGCCGCATCCAGCTGACGCCGTCCGGCGGCAGCGGGCTTTGTCTAAAACACGGCCAGCCCGGCGGGGGCCGACGCTCCTGGGCAAACACAAATACGGTGAGTGAATTTCCGAGCCGCTAACCACCTGCTGACGGTGGGCGGCCGGCTCGGGTGTCCGCCCGGCGCGGGAGGCCGAGCGGCCGCCGGCGGCGCCGGCCACGCTCGCCTGGGTCGGCGGCGCGTCGAGGCGCCCGGCCCGCTGGATGGTGGCAGCTTTTCACAGGAGCTGTCGTCGACTCCGCGGACGGACATCATTCACTCCGCGGGCTCTTCACACGTGCCATGAATGCGTGGCTCACGGACGAGAAAGGCGGCCGTCTCGACGGAGCGACACGGTCAGCCTGAGCTATTTCTATGCCGCGCTGTGGTCAGCGACGGCTCCGCAGCGGGAGGACTGCCTCGGAGGGCCGGTTTGTAGTGGCACGCGCGCTGAAGCTGCTGGCCGGCCGACACCCGGCCTGCGCCAACAGTCGCTTACATCCACGAGCCATGGCCAGCTTGGTTGCGGCGCCTTGTCATACCGGCAGAACCCATGTCGGACTCCCTTACAGTAGAAGTGTGACGTTCTTTTTTGTTCTCGCCGTGTGATACATTTCCTTTACACCAGAAGAGCAGCATTGCCGCGTAATGGCCTGGCAATACTCGGATTCAATATCTTTCATCCATTCATTGCACACCCTACAGCCGCACAACTTAACGGCTGTTAAGTGTACAGCCGTTAAGTTGCGCGCGTGACATGAGACAGACGGTTGTCTCGCGCCTTGGGCTGAGCCAGTGGACCGGCTCCGGCTGGCGCGGGCCGCAGTGGCCGGAGCCCCGAGCCGACGCCGCGCGGGGTCGCTGGACGCACGACCCCGGCATGACTCGACTCGGCGAGATCGTGCTCGCCACCTGTGTGCCGCGGCACAGGCCCGCATACAGAGACGGGTCCGCATACAGATGCGTCGCTATGGATTTCACCTCTCTCCTCTCGCACGGCAGGTTCACAGTGCTTTAACAAGGAGCCGGCGTCAGGTGCGGCACGCTTCCGCGCCCATCTGGCTTGTGTTCACGATGTTTTATTTGGCCTGTGGCTGCGCCTTCCAACGGCTGTCATTTAAGCAGCAGGGCACCGACAATGCTAGCGCATTGAATTGTGCAGCGAGGCAGGCACACGTATATGAAACGAATTCATGCGGGACGTTCAAGCAACTATGAGGCATGATGACAACTGACAGAAATGGCTTTGCTATCACTTGCAGCTTTAAAAAACGCTATTTATTTTCTATGTTTGGAAGCCTAGTAGGGTTTAAGTTGCATGACAATGACAAATAACATGCATATGGCAAATAAGCAATTAGCAGTTGTCGTCTCAAAAGCAACAATGTCTCGCTCGTCTACGTTCCAGGCTGGGTGGTTCTGATATTTTGTGGTTATGAGAACTGATCATTCGGATGCCCTTTTACAGATATGGCCTTGGTGAGACTACCTGTACTTTTTCGGGGAGGGGGAGGGGTCCAGCGGCTGAACAGCACACCGCTCGCAGTCGACAAGGCAGCATGTCCAGTGCAGGAGCATACGTCCGATATCCCATTCCGTGCGACGCAAGAGGCCTCCGGAACGGCGGACTGAACTCTCCCGAATGACGCAGGAGCGGCCCGGGCCGGCGGACCAAGCTCTCCCGAACGGCGCAGGAGCCGCCCGAGCCGGCGGACCGAGCTCTCCTGAACGGCGCAGCAGCCGCCCGAGCCGGCGGAACGAACTCCCCCGAACGACGCAGGAGCCGCCCGAGCCGGCGGACCGAGCTCTCCTGAACGACGCAGGAGCCGCCCGGAACGGCGGACCAAGCTCTCCCGAACGGCGCAGGAGCCGCCCGAGCCGGCGGACCGAACTCTCCTGAACGGCGCAGCAGCCGCCCGAGCCGGCGGAACGAACTCTCCCGAACGACGCAGGAGCCGCCCGAGCCGGCGGACCGAGCTCTTCCGAACGGCGCAGGAGCCGCCCGAGTCGGCGCGCCTCAGGCGACTCTGCGACCAGCGCGTGGGCGCCCGGCCCGCCCCGGCGCCAGCCGCCAGATATGGGCCGATATTTGCATCGGATCCATCACGTCTGGAGGCAGCACGGCCGGGAAGCTGGGCCATCTTCGGCCGCCCTAAACAGAAGCTTACGAAACGCCAGTCATCGATCAGGGGCCCCGGGCGCGGCGCGCGCCGCTCGTCCCGCGGACATCAGATAGTGGCTGCTCCAGCCGTCACGCGGTATCTGTCGAGCCTTCTCAGCTGTGATCGAATGTGACAGTCCGTGACATATTGTACATGTGAGAGATGTGTTTTTATGTTGTGTGCTTGTTAAACGCAAGCCGCGGCAAAGAAAAAACTTTTGGTGTGTCCGACTAGCATGGACGTAAAACATCTTGCACGGTGGCAAAACACTGCAACTTCATACGACCTTCTGAGCATACCACGTTACTCGTAGTGATGGGCCAAGTATAGCCCTTTCCAGACGCATTTTATTTCTTGGCACGCTCGATGCCCAGAAGAAACACAACGTAAAATCAATTTCTACGTTTTCAAAGCACTGAGCACTCAAAGCATATAGAATACAGCACTCGCGTGATTCGACGCTATTCAGACCATGATTGGCCGTAAAGCCTTATGTTTTATACGGAAGCTGCTGACTGCCAGACGACTGCCAGTCTTTTTACAACAAGGAATTTGCATACACATCTTAAATAGATAATGCATGCAATTGGCAATGCTGACAGGGACGTACGCAAATCGAGCAGGCCTTCCGACCCAGAGACGCTGCGACGCCCCAGGACCCATTTGTACCCTCGGGATAGTCTTTGACTGTCGGATTTCCAATAAACCCGACACGGATTTGAAACTACCCGAACAGTTTACATGGACGATTGCAGTGAGTGTCCACTGCAGATGCGGTGGATGAAGACCGCAGGCACGCCGGGTCCACGCGTGGTCACGATGTGTCCAAAGCAGGTCCCACCCAAGCAGAAGTCGCTCAAGATAGCTTCGAAGTTCCAACTGTTGAAAGGTGCAAAACGAAATGGTAACATACCATGAAAGTATATGACGGTATCGCCTCAACAGTAATCCAAACCCTCCTCTGAATAAAGCGTTAGGCGATTTCGTTTCTGGCGATGACCCGGTTTTCCCGCAGCTAAGGCTTGCCTTCGCGTCAAGGGCGCACACCAGGGGAGGCCGGGGACTGCAACGCCATCTACCACACAGCACCGCCCCGGTGACCCTAGTGCTGCACAAGAACGGATCGCGCGCGGTCTCCCACGCCGCCGAGCGGAAGGGCCCAAGGGCGAGCCTCCCTCGATCGCTTAAGCCCGGCGGGGCGCTGCTTGGGGGGACCTCCCGCAATACCAAAGCCCTCCGTATATCACGTGCTTTTAGCAGATGCCGCCGTACAACGTTCCCGCACGTGTTGAGTAAATATCGCGCTCGTGGACGATGGCGTGCTGGAAGTCCCGGCGCCGTTCAATAAGCCTAAGCGTATCATACTAACTCAGGCGACGCCCTGAACGTGCAGGCTGCAGCTCTAATAGGTTATACACGGATTACAGATGATAAAACGTCGGAGCGCGGGTGATGAATGCAAGATAGCCATCTCCGAAAGAGAGCCCGAGGCCGCATTGATGCATCACCTGTGCAGTGAAGCTTCCATCCTTTGCCGCAGTGCTCGCCACAGGCTCACTGAGCCGGCCGACCACGGGATGAACCGCGAACGGCTTAGGGCCGGGCCTCTGCTGCTGGGAAATCGGCCGACTCCGGACGGGACACGGCTTAGATTCTAGACGATACTGAACTAAAGAAGGCCGGCCGAGGTCACGGAATGTGAGACACGCCGATTACCATTGAAAAAGTCATGATAGCTTTTTGCTTTCCACGTAGAATAAACAGAAGAATGGCGAGATAGATGTGACATTTCGGCCACATGCCTTTATCAAAACGAAACGAAACGATTCGTTTCGATAAAGGCACGTCGCCGAAACGTGAAATCTATCTCTCCATTCCCTTGCTTATTCTACAAGGAATGAGACTATAAATACTGTCTCATCTATTTGCAAAATGCTCCTGGCAAATACACTAAACAACTGCAGGTAAGATTTTTGCATGTCATCAAAAGATTCCTGTTTTGGCAGCTCTGCCACACCCAAGTTTCGCAGCATGCTCCACTCCTGGTTGCAGACAGTTAGTTTGGTGCCCTTGGACGTCATTCATACCTTGATTGTCCCACACAACACTCTGATAGCGCAATAAATAGCATTTGATTCATGTCGTCTCTAATTGATTAAATTGCCTGACAACGCTATAATTCGATGTTTATGCCAGGCTCATTCATCCCACACTCCATCATGGAGCTGCCAGTAACCTCCCATTGTAATTGGTGCGCAAGGTGCAACAGGTTATATCAACTACCTACCAGAGCATTAACTTCCATCTCTTCACACAATTACATCTGATGCATTCACACTCATTTTATATACCGACAGCTCTAAGAAATTCCTTCTTGAAGACCTGCTGTTTCTGCATCAATGACCTGTCGGCAAATGACGGCTATGCTAATATGCACATCAGAGAGATGCTTTAATTTTTAAATGAATCCGCGCAAAGGAAGACGGAAACTCAAAATAGATAAGACAAACCGTTGATCGGCATGTTTCCAATATCGTGAGGAAAACGTGACCCTAGTTTGGTACTCGACCATCCGCTCCCAGGCATACGCATCCACAACCGGAGTTAAGCTAGCGCGATGACTCTAGATAGCCGTACATGATATCAGGCGAGACCATGTCCCTACCTCTCCGCCTGTCCGCGAGCGTGACCGTTAAACCCGCCAGCAAACCGGAGCGCATGGCCAGACACCATCCAGCTGCACGCCCTGACACCCGATCCCATGCATCCGTACGTGGTGCAACGTCCAGGGCACGTGGCGCGTACCACTGCTAGCTAAATCGACGAACAAGTCGATCTGATTATTGCCGTATGGTCTATCACACAGCTTGCTCGTACAACGCTAAGTAATTGCCAAACGATTTCGAGCAATAGTCCCTTGGCGAAAGAGCAGCCTATGGCTGTTGCATGCTACGCAATTTTTGTGCGGCTTCGGTCGCAGCAGTAATGAGCCAGGAGAACCGAGCTGGTCCCTGACAGAGCTCAGTGCGGCCTGCCGCTCGGGACGTTACCAGCGCGGCCTGCCTCTCGAGACGTTACCAGCGCGGCCTGCCTCTCGGGACAGCACCGAGTTCCGATCCGACCCATCCGGCCTCGCCCGGACGGGGGAGGGGCGTGGGGAGGAGCCTGTCCGCTCGAGTCCGTTGTGTTTGTGAGCTGGCTCCCCTGACAAGCGACCCCGTTCGGCTGGTGCCCCCGCACCGACCAGCGGAGTCAGCCAGCCGACAGCAGGCGGCGCCAGGTCCAGGGTGCATGGTCACCTCGCGGCGGGCATGACGGGCCTAAGAACAGGGCAGGAGAGGGGTGGAGGCGTGTCGAATGAGCGCCGACAGTGGACGAGCTGACGGGAGAGAGAGGGGAGCGAGAGAGAGATATAGGGGGAAGAGAGAGAGATAAAGGGAAGAGAGAGAGAGAGAGAGAGAGAGAGAGAGAGAGAGAGGAGAGAGAGAGAGAAGAAGAGAGAGAGAGAGAGAGAAGAGAGAGAGAGAGAGAAAGAGAGAGAGAGAGAGAGAAGAGAGAGAGAGAGAAGAGAGAGAGAGAGAGATAGAGAGAGAGAGAGAGAGACAAGACAGAGACAGAGACAGAGACAGAGACAGAGACGAGACAGAGACAAGACAGAGACAAGCACAGATAACAAGACAGAGACAGAGACAGAGACAGAGACAGAGACAGAGACAGAGACAGAGACATAGACAAGACAGAGACAGACGAGACAGAGACAGAGACAGAGACAGAGACAGAGACAAGACAGAGACAGAGACAGAGACAAGACAGATACAGAGACAGAGACAGAGACAGAGACGAGACAGAGACAGAGACAGAGACAGAGACAGAGACAGCATAGACAGAACAGAGACAGAGACAGAGACAGAGACAGAGACAGAGACATAGACAGAGACGAGAGACAGAGACAGATACAAGACAGAGACAGAGACAGAGACAGAGACGAGACAGAGACAGAGACAGAAGACAGAGACAGAGACAGAGACAGACGACAAGACAGAGACAGAGACATAGACAGAGACAAGACAGAGACAGAGACAGAGACAGAGACAGAGACAGAGACAGAGACAGAGACAGAGACAGAGACAGAGACAGAGACAGACAGAGACGAGACAGAGACAGAGACATACGAGACAGAGACAGAGACACAACAGAGACATAGACAGAGACAGAGACATAGAGAGAGAGAGAGAGAGAGAGATAGAAGATAGAAGAGATAGAGATAGGAGAGAGAGAGGAGAGAGAGAAGGAGAGAGGAGAGATGAGGAGAGAGAGAGAGAGAGAGAGAGAGAGAGAGAGAGAGAGAGATAGAGGAGGAGGAGAGAGAGAGAGAGGAGAGAGAGAGAGAGAGAGAGACGAACTCACCTTTGCCTCGACGGTGGCCAGCTGGGAGATGCTGGGTTTCTGCTGGTCCGACTTGGTCGAGTTGGCTCCGTTCAGCGACAGCGTGCTCTGGAACACGGCCGGCGGCGGGTTAGTGTCGCCTGCGCGTGCGAGGAGCCGGTCTGGGTCCCAGCGGGCGGCGAGGTGATCCGACGCGCACCACCTCATCCGTCCGACGCCACACAAAACAGCCATTGTTTTCGGAGAGAATATGAGCGATGACGAGTCCGACCCAGCTACCGCATGGCGAGACGGAGCACGGGCCCGCTGTGGCGGAGATATAGAGCACGGGCCCGCTGTGGCGGTGATAGCGAGCACGGGCTTGCTATGGTGGTGATATCGAGCACAGACCCGCTATGGCAGAGATATAGAGCACGGGCCCGCTGTGGCGGAGATATTGAACACGGGCCTGCTGTGGCAGAGATCTGGAGCACGGGCCCGCTGTGGCGGAGATATTGAACACGGGCCTGCTGTGGCAGAGATCTAGAGCACGGGCCCGCTGTGGCGGAGATATTGAACACGGGCCTGCTGTGGCAGTGATACCGAGCACGGGCCAGCTATGGCGGTGAGACCGAGCCCGGGCCCGCTGTGGCAGAGATACCGAGCACGGGCCCGCTATGACAGAGATACAGAGCACGGGCCAGCTATGGCGGTGGGACCGAGCCCGGGCCCGCTACGGCGGAGATACCGAGCGTGTGGCTCGCTGTAGTCGCGAGGGACGATGTACACGGTCATCGGACGTGCCTGCAGACGGCGTTACAGAGATTCGCTACAAATGGCACCGTCCCCTACGATGGTATCCAACTCAAACATTGCCGCAACGCTATATAAAGTTCTAGACATTACCATCTCCTGCGACACAAATGCACCATGCAGCATGTAACGAGCATACCTATAACTCGAGATGAGCGGACCCCGGAGCTCAGGGCTCACCCCCTCCCCCCCCCCCGTCCCCTAGAGCGGCACGCCCTCTGGATCGACTGGTGCCGCCAGTGGCCTCAGGCCATAGCGGGCCGGCGCGGCACAGGTCTGCCACCGTCGCGTCGGCGCGCGAGGCCCGGCCCTGCGCCTGCTGCTGGAGGCCCCGTTAGCCCAGTACAGGCGTCACCCTTCAAGGGGTGTGACGGCGCCAGATCCGGGACACAAGTGACAGAGATTAATGCCCCGGCCGGTCATCCGGCTGAAGGATAATGGAGAGGCGCAGGCTCGTTTCATGCCGCTGCCTCAGCACTATGGCTTGTGGCTGGCTCTCCGCAGGGAGGATTTATTGGACACCCAGCAAAGGACGTCATTCCCGAGCATTGTAAAAAAGCGATAAAGCATAACATGTATATATATATATATATATATATATATATATATATATATATATATATATATATATATATATATGTGTGTGTGTGTGTGTGTGTGTGTGTGTATGTGTGTATGTGTGTGTGTGTGTGTGTGTGTGTGTGTGCGCGTATATGTGTATATAGTTTGAAAATGAAAGCTTAACTACCAGTGCCGGCATAAGCGATTGCCGATCCTTACGGTCTCCCAAGCTTGTGACACCTGTTAGGCACCAGATGCCCCAAAATCATCAATCTTACGACTGAATTTGATCGACACCACCACCAGTAATCTGCATATTGCTTACGAAACACAAGATCAGAATAATCCATAGAGCATCATTAGCCGATCCTGGCGATGATGCGGGAAAAGCGAAAGGCCGCCGCCGGCTGAATCCAGATCATTAGCCCTGGGCGGCTCCGTTTCGAGGCCTCAAACGCACCACACAGTAAATCACAATTCATTTCTTGCTAGGCTATCTATCTACAGACCGAAGCGTTTGGTCAAAAAGACAATTTGTTTACATCTTGCGTCCGCACGACCGCGCCAGTCCACGGCAGGCGGGATGAACGCAAACGCCTGGCGGACTCGGCACCGTCAGCCGACTGCGCCGGATTCTTTCATGTCTGCCGCCAGAGCGAGCTGGTGCCGAACCTTAATGAACTCCTGATGGAGAAGCCAATTGTCCCTACTTGATGACTATATTATTATCAATTTCATATTTCCCTCGCAGCCGGGATGGCTTTGAGGTCGGTGGTTCAATCGAATGGATTAAGAAGACATGATCATCGTTTGCCTGCTGAACGGTCTGCCGGCCGTACTGGCGAGTTCCCACTATCTTGACAGATTCATCAACGTTGCAATACTAGTTAACGCTGCGTCAAAGAGGCGAGCAATTGAGACACGTCTTACGACATACCCCTCAGTAACTTGCCACAATGCAGCATACAATTACAAAGTGTAATGCAATACAATGACAGCGTTTCGTTGGTGTCTGTGAGGACATCAAGGGCACAATTTTTTAGCCCACGGGGCGAACAAATGCCCGGCGACCGTCAAATTGTAGTGATCTTCAACGCAACGTCAATACTGGGGACTAAAATAAAACCTGCGCGAAGCACGGAGGGGGTCAGGGTTCCGCAGAATTTTGATCAATGGATATGTGCAAAAATCATTTAGGGCGAGTGAAAATCACGTACAAAAGCGGTATGCCGACCGTCGGGCCCGTGTCGGAGGCCGGTTCGTCCAGAAGTCTCAGCAGCCGCTCGGCGCCTGCACCCAGTTGACCCCCCGAGTGAAACGCGGGGAACTCGGCGACACCGTTCGAGCGTCACCCTGCGCCCCGCAGCGCGCGCTGACCGTGTGACGTGTGACTCATCCGTGTGACGCGTGACTTATCCGTGTGACGTGTGACTCATCCGTGTGACGTGTGACTCATTCTCCCACGAGCTGCGTCACCCCCCCCCGCTCTGACGTCACGGTGCCGGTCCGCCGGCTGCTGTCCGTCATCAGCTGACTCACGGCAGCAGCTGGCGGCTGACCCAGCCGAGCGTGGAATCGCCGGGCGCGCCGCCGGACGCGCCACCGGCTCCACCGCGGCCCACCCGCCGGCGGCGAGGGAGGGGCTGACGGGCCCCACTCACCATGGAGACGGACCGGTGCCCGACGACGGCCTCCTCGTCGGCGGACATGGCGGCGGCCGAGTTTTTCTTGGACCTGCGCGGGCAGACAGAGTGAGCTTCGCGGCGGGACTGGTGGCCGCGCGCCGCCCCCGCTACAGGGCGTCACACGCTGGATCGTGACACGGAGCGCACACTCCAGTGCAACCCGTGAGAGTGGAACAACCGCAGCCGCCGACTGGACAAGCTTAACAGGAGATGGTGGTCGGACACCATGCACAGTTTGTTTCTTCATGTGATGCTTGCAGCGAACTGTAATCGATTGTTTTGACGAAATGCATATGCGTAACACACGAGCCCACTGGCGTGGGAGACGTGCTAAGTGTGCAGAGACATGTCAAGGCGGGTCTACTACCTGGCAACACGACGATTTCATGGTACCTATCCAAACAAGATGCATTGATGGCACAATCCAGACTGCTGTCGCCTTCGACGTCAGACTCATCTCTCACCTGACATTCTTCTTATAACGTCGTAAGCTGATTTCGCTGAAGCGGGTCGGCGACTCGCTCCGGTTGCGCCCTCTGATGGCGGCAAACATGGTGCTGACGAGATACTGAGTCCGTTGAAGGACTCAACTCAGAGGTCGGGGTGCTGGTGGTGCGCGGTTTCGGCGTCCAGAGCCTTCACAAGGGCCGTTCCGTCTACACGGCTCTGTCCTGCTCCCAGCCAGGCGTGACAACACCCAGTCTTGCTGGAGCTGTCCGAGCGGACAGCCGTCGCAGGCTCGGCGACGCTGCTGGCGCTACTGCCGGGGTGTGACCCGGCGCTCGTGTCCGGCGGCGTCTGCGGCTGACTCGTCGCTCCGTGTCAGCGGCAGCGCGGCGCGTGGCGCGCCGTCCGCGGGCTCCGCTCCGCGCCGGTGGCCGCCGCCGCGCCGTCCCGCGGCGCTGCGGGCCCGACACTCGCCGGTGCGCGGAGCCCGGTCCCTGACACCGGCCGGCGGCAGGACTGCAGGCTCAGCCGACCGTGGCGGTGGCGCGCCTGGCCGCCGCCGGGCGACGTCCTCGCAGCCGGAGACGCGGCCGCCTCGCCAGCCGGGCCGGGGTCACGCTGGGGGCACAAACAGCGCCATTAGCACGACGCGGGCTCGCCGCATACAATGACGCGGCGAAGACGAACGTGGCGCGGCGCTAATGCGTCGGGGCGGGAGAAGCTTTCCCAGGCGACCCTCCGCCCGCGAGAGAAGGGCAATTTGCCCAGAGACCCCGCCACTTCCAGAAATTGGCGGAGGGTTGGACCAGAGAACCGTCAGCCCGGGGCACCGGCCCGCATCATCCCCTGAAGTTGACGTAGTTGTCTGCCCTCGGCCGGGCTACGCGGCTGGCTGGCTACAGTAAACGCCCGTAATAAAAAACGCACGCTGTCCGGCACGTGACCGTCAGTGCGATCAAAGGAACGGGGCCCGTGACATGAAACCACGGGGCCCGTGACACCAAACAAATACCACAGAAGTAATGAAATGTGACCGTCCAGTGGCATATGGCGGCACATGAACCTGCTACGAACCAGCACAGCCTGAGCCCATGGGCACTCAGGGTAGTCGTTACACCTCAGGAATTAGACACAAAACAGCTAACGCTTGGCTGAAGCTCGTACCAAAAAGTGCAGCGCGATACGTAGCGCTGACAAAAACGGCTTGGTTGCCCGGGAGGTTTTGCTCAGGCCTCCGTGTTCTTTGTGTACCGCTGCATATTGCTCACCGCATACTTAAGTGAGCAATTCATGTCAGTTCAATTTACTGATAAAGCGAACGGGAATATCAGACTTCAGTTACACATAGAAGCCGTGCGCGTTCATCATAAGATGCAGGTTACACATACCGATGGAAGCACACGAGTTTGCCCACAACGTAGAGGCATCAGTTAAAACCATTCAAATGTCGGTTCGTTTTCAGATGTGAGATAAGCTGAAGACGTTTCATTCAATCATGCTTTCCGATGCGATTGCAGTAAGATGGACTTTGAGGCGCTATTTTCCTCTCGCTGAATGACACCATTGCATGGCTAGCTAAGCTGCCGCGTGTAATTTCAAGCAGTTACGGGGTGTGCCAAGCTTTTGCTTAAAACCAGCTTTTTAGGCACGCAAGCGATCAGTGAAACTATCAGATAACATCGGCAATATCACATATTCACGAACACAGCCCAATGAGCTGAAACGCAAAGTAGGCCACAGCCGCAAAGACAAAACAGAGACTGGATTAATAACTCAGCCGCTGCAAGGGTGAGCGTCGCGTAAAACCGCGTGCATCCTGGTTGGCAGTCAACAACGCCGGCCGGCGCTTCCTGTTTTGTTTCTGGGATCGTCTCCGCGTGGCCGCCGTCGCCGGATTCAGAGTTGCTCGTCAGCCACAAAACAAACGCCGGTGAACAATGGTCGAGTGCGCAGCTGAGGCCCGGACAATGGGCCGCGGGCAAAGGTGAGCACGCACACGGCTGCTGACAGGAACTCGGCTCCGGTGCGGCCGGCCGGGTGCTGGGCGTGTGCCCCGCTCACGGCGGCGCTCCCACGCCGTCAGCGGCTTCCAGATACCGCCAGAAGTCACGCTGCGTCGCACTGGGCCCCTGTCAAGGTACGGAGCACGCTTCAGAGCGCTTCTTCAGAGCGCTGCTTCAGAGCGCTTCAGAGCGCTTCAGAGCGCTACTTCAGAGCGCTTCAGAGCGCTGCTTCAGAGCGCTTCAGAACGCTGCTTCAGAGCGCGGCTTCAGAGCGCTGCTTCAGAGCGCTTCAGAGCACTGCTTCAGAGCGCTTCAGAGCGCTCCAGAGCGCGAAGCGCAGTCCGGTGAGGAGGCGAGCCGTGGCGACGCCGGACGTGAGGGCGGCGTGTGCCGACGGCGTGCGGGCCCGGGCGCGGGTCCGACCGCCAGCCGGTGCCGGCGGGCGGCGTGGTCCGCCGCCGAGCATCCGCCAGCGCCACCGGCGCCGCAGCCGGCCGGCCTCGCCACCTCTGGCGACCTTCGAGCCGGCGCGCCGCACGAGCCGCCAAAACAACCGCGCCCGGCATTCCGCCTGGGCGTGACGTCATCAGATGGGCGGCCTGCGAGCCCGGCGCGCGGCCCGCCAGCCCGGCCTGTTTTCGCCGCTCCGTCAACCCCCGGCACGCCGTGCATAATTTGACCGCCGCGCCCCCTCTGCGCAGGCCCGTTCCCATGGTCGGGGAGCGCAGGGGGCCGCCGGCGTGACGCACGCAGTAGCAACACCGCGCTCCGCCGGTCCAGCGCGATGGGAAACGGCCGCCGAGCTGCGATCCAATGTCGCCGCAAGCGGCGGCGGCGGCGGTCGTGTGGTTCATCCACGCCGGACTCGAAGCGGCGACAAGCGGTGACCCAGCGGCGCCCCGCCGCGTCTGAGACTGAGCGTCGGGGCGGGCCACTCATGGCCGGGCGGGCGACCCAGCAGTCGGGGTCAGCCAGGTGCCTCGTGCCTCCTGTCGGCGCTGTCTGACGCCGGGTCACGTGTGAGGTCGGCCGCTCGCGTGCCAGCGGCGCGGTCACGTGGCGCTCCGCGTGGATCGTGGCACCGCGCGGGGACCGTGCGCCGGTCAGGGCCCGTACACGAGCGAAAGGCCGCCGGGGCGAGACGCACATCGCTCCGGTGCGGCTGCAGAACGGACGTGATCCCGCACGCCGGGCTAGTACATGACTCAGACCGCCATTCTGAGCATTGCCTCTGACGAAGCTCGCGTTGGGACCGAGCCTCGCCCGGCCTCGGCAGCTCGCGCGGCCCGTGCCCCCGCCCGGGCGGCGCCGGCTGGCCCCCCGCGGCCGCCTGCGCGCCGGTGGGAACGGCGCGGCGCGGACCGGCCGCCGCGCGCGCTCTAATCGCTCCGCTTCACACAGCCGGGCCGGAAGGTGCACGGCTGATTACAGCCGCGCGGTGGGAGCGCGCCGAGAGCGGGCCGCAGCGGCGCCTCGCTTTGTTCGGTGCCCTCCGCTCGCGGGCGGGAGACGGTCGGGGCGGCCTGCCAGCGCGCCGCCTGCATCTTCCCACATGAATAACGCCGTTTATGAGCTCGTCGCGTGGGAGCGGCGGAAGGATGTGTGTGCGGCTGCCGCGCCTGCCGGCCGTTTGTGTCAGGTGTTTTCGAGGCGGCTCGCCGCGGCGGCGCACGCAATGAAGCAAGGCACGACATGTGGAGGCCGATCTCTATCTGCTCAGTGCACGTGGCTCTTGAAGGGGCTGATTTACGAACCGCCCCGATTCATATCGTTAGTGGAAAAGTGGTGGATGAAAGCACGCAGACGCCTCAGCGGCCAGCCCTAAATCAAGCAGCGCTGATTACATTCGGCCGTTAATTGTCCGCTCACGACCGAGCCGGCGCCACCAGCTAATGGTGGGCGGCCAAAGCGGCGCCCCGCCACACAGTTCGGCAAGTCTGTTCTCCGCACGCAGCCACGCTGGCGTGATGTTAAATTCCACGATCATTGGCAGAACGCGTCACACACGCTCCCTCCAGCCATCCGCCCGTCCCAGGTGGAGCCGCGCCTGCTCGCAGCGCTGCCTGTCCACCAAGCGACCGGCTCATATCCGATTATAAACGGTGAATGGCGGGATAAATTAAACTCTAGCCAGACTCAATGCCGCATCGTTACGGTAAGGTAATGAAACGCTTTCATGCCTGTGTCACCGGGTTACGCTCCGGAACGAAGGGTGGGACGCGGCTGGAGGCTCGCTCTGCCGTCCGGCACCGCTTCGCTGAGACAGAGCATCGAGTGCGGGGGAGGTCGGCGAGTCCAGAGTAGTCACTGCGTTCCCAGTGTTCGCCATATGAAAGCAAAAGCCGTGAGCAAGATCAGTGAGCGCACAGAGCCCGGAGTGCCCGGAGCGGTCACTTGACCACTGTGTTCGCGGTATCCGAGCAGCGGCTCTGGGCAGGACCGGTGAGCACCAGGACCGGTCACTTGACCATTGTGTTCGCGGTGTCCGAGCAGCGGTTCTGGGCAGGACCAGTGAGCGCCCGGAGCGGTCACTTGACCACTGTGTTCGCGGTATCCGAGCAGCGGCTCTGAGCAGGATCAGTGAGCACCAGGAGCGGGCACTTGACTACTGTGTCCGCGGTGTCCGAGCAGTGGCTCTGAGCAGGATCAGTGAGCGCCCGGAGCAGGCACTTGACCACTGTGTCCGCGGTGTCCGAGCAGCGGCTCCGGGCAGGACCAGTGAGCGCCCGGAGCAGGCACTTGACCACTGTGTCCGCGGTGTCCGAGCGGTGGCTCTGAGCACCGCCGGACACGCTCCAGCAGCCAGCCGGTGCGTTCCAGAACCGTTCGTCGATCGCCGATAAATCAGTGGATTAGCGCTGCGGACGCGGCAGCCGGCAGACGGGCGGCCGTAGCGGGACGGCCGCTAGGAGACGCTCCGACACACACCAGCTGCACACCATCAGCCACAGAGCCGGAACACGATACACGGCCAGCGATACACCAACAAACACCGACGCAATCTGTTGTTCTGTCCGGAAGTGGATGCTTTGCAATGTAGATGGCGTTGGAAAATCCTGTGGGGGCTACTGGCCTTCTCACTTCACCTCGCGACCTTTCACACCAATTAGCTGCATTTCTGGACAACAAAGTCTTGGAGCTTGACACTACTAGTTTCAAGTGCGGTAAAATGCATCCCCTTGCAGAGTGAAATTGGCGTTGTAAACAGTAAGCGAGCGCTTCCGGCCCTTTGCACCCACTGCCTTTGTATGCAAATGCGTGGTGCACAGTCTGGCTTCCATCCGGTGCGATGCAGGTGGCAGACACCTAGGCAACGTGTGCTGTCCTGTCTTGTGCGCCAGGCCACGTTCCTCGGCTGGGGCGGCGGGTGCCGTCCTG